TTCCTATTATTCTTAGATTTCTTCTTTTCATGGCATCCTTGATTTCTTGGATATTTTATGTTTAGAATTTTTCCGATTTTACTTTTTCTTTGAGAAAAGTATCAATTTCAGCAAGTGTATCTTCAACACCTGACATTTTCTCTTCCATCTCTTATAGTCTATTGGTGATGCTTGCCTGTGTGGTTCCTGATCTTTTCTCTAAGTTCTCCAGCTTCAGGGTTTTCTTTGTTTGTGTTTTCTTTATTGATTCCAATTCTGTTTTCATGCCTTGCACCATTTCCTTCATTTGTTTGAATGTGGATTCCTGTCTTTCTGTCATGACTTCTATTTTTTTGTTCGTTTCCTCTCTCTATGCCACTAATTGTGCCTCTACTTGTATCTATTTGTTTGGGTGTAGTTGCCTGTATTTCTTTGAGAGCTTTGTTCATTTCCTCTTTATTTGCCTCCATTTTTGTGGCTACTTCTTTGAGAGCTATGTTGGTTTCCTCTTTATTTGCCTCCACTTGTATGGCTATTTCTCTGAGAGATTTATTCATTTCCTCTTTATGTGCCTCTAAGAACTGGGTAAGCATAGCTTTAAAGTCATTTTCCTTTGTTTCTGGTGAATTGAAATATCCGTTGATTTGGGGGGTTGCTGGTGAAGCCACAGTGTCCTGATTTTTGTTGGGTGTGTTTTTACGCTGACCTCTGGCCATCTGCTTATCTGTAACCTTCACTGTTTGTTCCTGGAGTCTGTAGTTCAGACTGGGTCCGTCTTTCTCTGGAGTGTTCTTCAGGAAGATGAGAGAGGTCCACTGGTTTGAGAGTGAGTGTTGGTGTGTCAGCTGTAGCCAATCAGGAAGGGCGCAGGCGCAGGTGCACAAGTGCTGGTGAGCAAGCATGGGTGTGTGCGTGGAAGTGTCTCTTGAAGGAGTGAGTGCTAGCACTTGGAATGTGGGGGAGGGTGCCGGCGCAGGAGGAGGTACAGATGCTAGCACTGTTTGCAGGTGCAATATACTTGTGCTGATTTCCTGAATACCTCAGTGGTGTTCAGTCCTGTCTTTCTGGTATTCAAATCTGTCTGGGCTCCAGGAGTTGTTTGCCTCGACTTCACTGGTAGACCCACAGAGCAGGGGCTTCAATGTTGATAATGCTGTCCCAAGAATCCCTGTGTTGCCGCAGAACTTGGGGGGTTGGTGTTGAGGTCTACTGGAAGTCCAGCCACTACCACAGAACTAGGAGGCCGCTGGCACAGATGCCTTCTGGAACCGCCTGGGGAGCTGCAGGCCTGATTGGCCTGGTGGAGCCACCGGCACTGCGCTCTGTGCTAGGAGCTAGGGCCAGGCACCTCACTCTGTGGCTGACGGGGTGAGCCACCTCTGTAGCCTCCTCCAAGGAGGGAAAAGGGGAAGCCTGTTGAGGGCACGTGCTGAGGGATTGAGTATTCTCTGTCTCAAATCTCAAGCGGGGTATTGTGGGCTAGGAGCTGTGCTCCACAGCTGCACCGCCACTGTTGACTATGAAAGCCTGTTAAAGGGGAGGTGCCTGGGAATTGAGTTCCCAGGAGAAGTCCGTGGTTGACCTGAATCGTAATGGTCTCAGCCCAGGGTTTGTCCCCTTTCTCCCAGGAAGCCTCAATATCAATGTTCTGAGTTCAGTTGCTCCTCCACTTACCAGTTTCAGAGTTTCAGATCCTCTGCTCCTCAGATATGGTACGCACTGGTTGCTACCATCTTGGATCCCAGTTTTTTGTTTTCTTTTTATGAGCTGGATTGGTAACTAGAAATTAAGTTTGGCTTTCTTGTGGAATGCATTTCTTCCTCCATTAATTATGATTATTTTTTTTTTCTGGGTATAGTCTGGACTGATATCTGTAGTCTCTCAGAGTTTGTAGAATATTTTTCCAGGCCTTCCTGGCTTTTAGAGTCTCCATTGAGAAATCATTTACTTTCTAATGAACTTGCTTTTATGTTGCTTAGTCTTTCTCCCTGCAGCTTTTAATATCCTTTTATTGTTCTGCACATTTAGTTGAGAGGAATTTATTTCTGGTCATCTGTTTGGTCATCTGCATGCTTCTTGTACCTTGATTGGCAATTCTTTGAATTGGGGAAATTTTCTTCTATGAATTTGTTAAAATAGTCTCTGTGGCTACATTTTTTTTTTTTTTTTAGATTTAACATTTTCTTTGCCTGCACTATCTATTTCTTCTACCTTGTCTTCAGTCTGATATTCTTTCTCCTGTGTCTTGTACTCTGATGGTGAGGCTTACTTTTGAGGTTTTTGTTTGACTTCCTAAAATTTTCGTTTCCAGTTATATTTCAGTTTGAGTTTTCTTTAATAGTTGGTTTTCTTTCTTTGTTAAATTCTGCTTTCATGTCTTAAGTTATTTTTATTGCTCATTCAACGGTGTGTTTGTTTTCACAGAGTTCAGTAAGGGCTTTATTCAAATCCTCTTTAGGATTCTTGAACATATTCATGATAGTTATTTTGAAGTCCTTATCGTGTGCTTCAGTTATAGTGCATTTCTCAGAGCCTATTGCAGCAGGGTTACTGTCTTCTGCTAGAGGATACTGACTCCTGCTGTCCTGGCTCTTCATGTTTGTGTTTTGTGTTGGGATCTAGGCTTCTGGAGTTGTAATGTTTGAGGTATTTCTTGTTGACAACTGGTTTTGCCTTTGTTCTTTTCTTTGGTTGCAGCTGCCCTCTTTGGATCCTAAGCAATAGTTATAGCTGTTGGGTCCCTGGTACAGAATGCTTCTACAGGCCAGGGGTAGCAGAAACACGTAGAGATAGACTAAGAGGAAAAGGCTGAGAAAAGCCATAGGAAAAATTCTGGGTGGCAGGTGAGTTTGTACCAAGAAGCAGAGGTCCCAGGAATGCAGGTAGGGTGTGAGGAGAGACTTCTGCAAGCAGGCAGCTATAGAGCTAAGAGTAAGTCTGTAGACAGTGTAATAAATGACAGGAAGTATAATGAAATTTTACTACCAGAGTCCCATCCCAGTGTGACTGGGGGTCCCTAGTAGAAAGTGTTTCTGAAGATAGTAGGCTGATTCCAAGGAATGAAGATGGCCTAAAAGAGAAGACTGAGAGGGTTGGCAGAAAAGGTCTAGTCTTTGGGGTCTCCACCAAGAGGCAGAATCCCCAAGGCCATAGGGTAGGATGAGGAGCTCCCACAGGGCAGGTTGCAATTAGACAAGCAATACGTAAGTAAGCTTAAGTTTGCTTTTTTAAAAAAATATTTATTTATTATTTATATGGTATTCTGCCTGCACACCAGAAGAGGGCACCAGATCTTGTTATAGATGGTTGTGAGCCACCATGTGGTTGCTGGGAATTGAACTCAGGACCTTTGGAAGAACAGCCAGTGCTCTTAACCTCTGAGCCATCTCTCCAGCTCCCAAGTTTGCTTTTTTAATGCATTCTTTATTTCTTCCTAAGTAGTTTTCCTAATAAGCAAGTGAATTTCTATCAACTGATGAGAAATTGACTGTTGGCCATTTCTAGGAGATTTTGAGTGTCTCCTAGCTTCAATTCTCTTTTATTGTAAACAGTATAATTTTGAAATGTTCCCATTTAATTGAGAATCGCAATCATATTACTGTTGCTGTAAGATTTCAATCTTGATGAGGGTGATCTAAAGAGAACGCTTTTGTATTTTCTGTGAATTCCTTTTCTTTTACATATATTTCACATATATTCTTTTCTTATTCTGCTTATATCTTACTCTACTAGTTGTTTGCCTGTCTAACTTCTTCTTGCCCTCATATATACTAGTGCTGTTATCACAGCCTGGGTTCAATATCAGCACCTATAAACTTTGTTAGGAAGGCAAGCTATTTCTGCAATGCTTTTTCCTAAAACAGTAGCTCTTAAAGTATATACTGTAGGTTCCTGGTATATCCTTGAGACCATTTTATGTGAAGTTAAAGCTATGTTTTATAATACTAGAATGTTATTTGTTCTAATTCACTTGTTAGTATTCAGTGGAATTTTTCCCAAAGGCCACTTCCTAGCTAATAAAATATACATTTTATATCCCTCTTTAATTATTTTCTGTTTTAATTCTAAAATAATAAATGGTGATAGATACAATGTGTACAAACAAAAAATGTTTGGGTTCCTCAAGAGTACGAATAGGTCCTGAGGCCAAAAAGTTTGAGAACCAATGAAGCCAATGTCAGTGAGGGACTTGTGCTTAACCAAAAGACAAATGTGAAGGGTGAGATGAGTCACTCTGTACCTTAGTCTTTCAGAGTCAGAGGTGTTAGAATTGAAAGTGCCTAGGCATGTGTTTTGTCTGGGAGATCCTTCTCCCAGAAAATACCTTGAGACAGATTCAGAACACAAATGAACTAACTACATTCTCAAGTCTCATGGAAGTATGATTATTCAAAAACAATCTTGTACTCTATAGCTAAGGGAGCCTGAGTAGAACTTACTCCCATATATTAATTTCTTACACCCTTTTTTTTAAACCAGGTAAGCAAACTAAAAATTAAGTAACAGTAGTCTTATTCAGCTGCCAATCACTACCTTTGAACCAGTATAGTAGTGTTATCAAAATTCTGTTTTAATTTTAAGCTCACTCAAATAATAATGTTATATTCTTTTTTTTTAATAAAAGGCAAATTGGGTCCAGAGAGTTGTCAGAAGTTAAGAGCACTTGTTGCCCCTTCAGAGAACTGGGCTTCAGTTCCCAGTACCCACACGGTGACTCACAACCATCTATAGCCAGTCCCCGGGGATGTGTAACTCCAGTCCCAGGCACCCAGTGCTTTTTATGACGTCAGGCACCAGGCAGGCATGCAGTGCACCCATATCACTCAGGCAAAACACAGACGTAAAACAAGTAAATTTAAAGATGTTCTAAAGGCAAACTTGCATTAAGTGTCAGATTTCTTGCAAAGGAAAAAATATAGACTTTATTGTACTTAAAGCTGATTTACATTGAGAAAGAATCTTTTATATCCAAATGTTTGAAGAGAATTTTCTGTGTTAATATTTTTTTCTTGTTCTTACAGAGTATCCATGGAATCATTTAAACACGGGGCCCTGAGAGAACAACTGGCTAACTTGGCCACAAGACAAAAGAGTCTTTTAGTTGTAGCAAAGAAACAGAAAAAGATAAGACTGAAGATTCAAAACTATAAGAATGCCACATCATTATCTGGTATTAGTGTAAGGAAGCTTCCATGTAGCTCAGACATCTCTAGTGAGAAGAACCAAGAGCCTCCTAGTGTGGAAAACTTAGCATATCCCCAGCCAAGCTCATTTTCTCCTGTCAGTCTTGCTTATAGAAGCGTGCAACAAATACCATTGTCTCTGGAAATACAGAGTGACAGCCAGAATACTAACATTTGTTTAAATACAGAGGCAATGAGAAGAGAAGAATTCTCTGGAAATGAAATTAATTCTAAACAAAATGTACAGGATTGTATCTTGGGTGGGTTATTGAAATTTAGGCACTCAGATAGCCCTGAGAAAATTACATTATCATCCCAGCCTGCTGTTCTTACTCCTCAAATAGAAAATATTTTTACAGAAACTACAGTCAAAGGCAATGGATTTGATAGTTCTCCTTCAATAACTGGCACTATAAATATTTCAGAAAATAAAAGTATATTTTCCCAAAATGATGCCTGTTCACCAGCTGTTCCTCAGAATCAGGATCTTTTACATTGTAATCCAAAAAGAAGAAACAAGAAAACAGCTTCCCAGCAACCATCTGGGGGAATAGCAGAGCCTCTGGCACCTCAGGTGATGGCTGTCTTGGACACTGAGACTGTGCATCAGACAAAGCCCCATCTTAAAAAGACAGCTTCTGTTGCTTCACATGCAAATAGCATTCCAATTTCTCCTTCCTCTGTGTCTGCCCAGCAGCATTCTACTAAAAAGGCTTCACCACACAGCCCAACTCCCAGAAAGAAGAATGTGCAGCTGAAAGACTTGATACTATGTGGAAGAATTAATCCAGGAAATAACGTTCTGGAATTCAAAACACAGGTATTTTTTTTCTCTGAAGTCTTGCAGATTTTATAAGTAGTGATGGTGTAGCATAGAATAGGCATATAGGAAATAAGATTTGGCTGTGCTTTCTAAATGGAGGAACATAACTATTAAATTCCTAGGAAGCAAATCCCTACCTTATTCTGGAATTGCCCTGATAGAATTTAGTCATAACCACCTTTGTTTCTCAACTGCAGTCTGTCAGTTATATTGTAGCAGGAAGAATTTAAGAGGAAATTTCACATAGAACCCAGGACCACCAGCCTACAAATGGCACCACCTACAGTGGGTTGGGCCTTCCCCCACTGGTCACTAATTGAGAAAATTCCTTATAGCTGGATCTCATGAAAGCATTTTTCTCAACTGAGGATCTTTTCTCCTTGATGTGTCTTGTGTCAAGTTAACACACAAAACCAGATAGGACACCATAGTTTTTCAGTTCACCTGATAGATACTTATGTTGTTTCCAGCTATTGGCTATTACATGTAAAGCTGCTATGAATTTTGTTATATGGGTTTTGGTATGAAATAAGACTTTCATTTTTCTTTGGTAAATACCTGTGAGTGGAGTTCTTGAATCCTGCTGCAATTGTTTGTAAAGTCTAATGAACGTGCCCCTTGTACATGAGAGTTGTAGGTGTCCCACATCACCACCAGTGCCTAGGGTGATCAGTCCTTAATCTTAGTCTTGCTAACGTACAGTGTAGATAGATGCATGTATGATGTGTTAGATAGCATGTATATATGTGTGCTGCTTATCACCGTGGATTTGTGTTTTGGTTTTGGTTTTTGACAGGGTTTCTCTGGGTAGCTTTGGTTGTTCTGGACTTGCTCTGTAAACTAGGCTGGCCTCGAACTCGAACAGTGATTGGACTGTCTCTGCCTCCCTGAGTGCTGGGATTAAAGGTGTGTGCCACCATGCCTAGCTATCAATGTGGTTTTAGTTTTTGATTCGAGTATTGATTGGTTCAGATCCACTGCCAATTTTTCTAGCTGGTTCTTCATGTGCTTTTTAAGAATTATTTGGGTAAGTAGGTTTTCCTCTTAATGCCATAGCCTTGGTAGGCTCAAAGATTAACTAGGTTTCCAGTACCAAGCATGATTTCCCTCCTGTTGAACAGATGTTAGGTCTAATTAGGCAACTATTGGTTAGTGTCAAGGTATAACTGCCATCTTTCAGGGTTGGTCGTATTTATGATTCATAGACAGCACAGCGAGGGAGGATTGTTTGTTGTTTCCCTCCCTTGTCAGCACACGTAGCACCTTTAGGTTCTATGAAAGCTATCTGTGAAGGCTTTCTGGACAAATCTAGCTCAAACCTTCTCTAGCTCAGTCCTGTGTCCAAAGTGCATGGTGTCTTCAATAATAGAGACTTAACCTTCAGCCTCTGGGAGACAACAGGGCAACAGCAATAGTTTGTATTGTTTTGGGAATCTCTTGGACTTCCATAACCAACAACGAAAGAGGTTTCATTTAAGGTGCGTGTGTGCGTGTGTGTGTACGCATGCACGCGCGCGCATGAGAAAGAGAAACAGACCAGCCGACAGACAGATTTATCTGTCCTCCCTTTTCCTTCTGTATTGACCTCCCTCCCTACTTCCTAACTAAGGCCACCTTTCCATTTTCTCCATTTCCCCTTCATTGCACTTGTATCCTGCTATTCCCTCTCTAGCAACCCCTCCTGATGGTTTTGTTTTACTTTCCTGGTTTCTGTAGTTACTCTGGATTATGTATTCACATCCAAAGATTCAGAGCTAGGAACCATAGATGAGAAAGAACATGTAATGCTTGTTTTTCTGTCTGGATTACCTCACTCAATTGAATATTTTCTAGTTGCATCTATTTATCTGCAAATGTCATGATTAATTTTTTCCTACAACATATGGACCATATTTTCTTTTTTCCTTGTTGCTTTGTTTTTTGTTGGTTTTTCTATTTTGTTTTTTGAGACAGGGTTTTTCTGTGCAGCCTGAGTTGTCTTGGACTGGCCTTGCAGATCAGGCTGGCCTCAAACTCACAGAGATCCCCGTGTCTGCCTTCCCAAGTGCTGGGACATGGAGTTGGAGGGAGGACATGATGTAATTATATTTTAATTAAAAATTAAAAAACAAAAAAAATCTATGTTCCAAATGAAAGTGAACAAAAAAAATGGTTTGTCTCACTCAAAATGACAATAGTTTTCTCATAGAATCCTGACAGTGTTCTCTTAAAGCCAAGGTAGTGAGTTTTAGTAGTTGAAATTGTGGGGTTATGGTGGTGACTTAGGTGTCATTACTGTGGCACATGATCTTGTGGCTTCATAAATTACATTTCCCAAGGGACATAATTGACAAGGGTTAAAGACTGAGCATTATTTTTATAGTTTTATGGCTAAGATTTATTCGAAATTAATTTTCATATTAATTTAAATATAAACTAGAATTATATATGAACATATATGTGGGACTATAATTTTTATATATGGGTATGCATGTTTTTATCTATTTTTGAGACAGTATCTTACTCTGTATCCCAGGATGGACCAGAACTCTTCCTGTAGCTAATATTAACTTGTGGTGATCCTCCTGCCTCAGCCTCCAAGTTCTGGGATTACATGTATAAGCCACCAATCCCAAGCCCTTTCACATTTTCTAATTTGGATAACCAGTTGGCCTGGCATCATAAGTTGAAAGAGGCACTCTTGTTTCAATAAACTGCCTATGAGTCTGTGTGAAAAAACAACAACAAAATAAAAACAGCTGTTTATATATTAATATATATTCCCTATTGTTTCATCATTTGTCTTTTGCTTTCTGTTAGTAGTAAGCTGCCTTGATTATTGTTGAAATTCAGTTAGTGCTAGCCTCCTGGGTTGTTTTTGTTTTTTCATTTTTTTTTAAAGTTATTTAATTAAATTTTTATTTTTTATGTTAATTAGTTTATTCACTTTATATCCCAGCTGTGGCTACCTCCCTCCTCTCCTCCCAATCCCATCCTTCCTCCCTCATCTCCTACCATGCCCCTCCCTCAGTCCACTGATAGGGGAAGTCCTCATCCCCTTCACTCTGACCCTAGACTATCAGGTTTCATTTCTTTCTTTTTTTAGTATTTCATTTCTTATGTATGTTCTAGGCAAATATTATACCACTGAGCTATCCCACCAGCCTTTGGTGTTTTTAAATACATAATTGTGCTATTTTTATTTTAGCCTAGGCTGCCCTTAAGCTCATAATCCCCCTTCCTCTGCCTCCCAAGTGCTGGGATTATAGGTGTGCATGTATAAGCCACCTAAGTAGAAATTTCTGCTTATTCTTGTTAAGTCTAGTGTTCAATTTTATAGTAGTTGAATCTTGTCTTTTGAATTGATATTCTGCTCATTTGATTTCTGTACCTCCTTGTTAAAAGTAAGACAATGAAGTCGCCAAGTATCCTTATTAATCTGTCTGTTTTTCCTCAAGTTTTGCTTCCTGTGTTTTGGAGCTCTTCTGAGTCTAAGCACATGTGTGCCTATAATTGTTACATCTGTCTGAAGCAGTAGCCCTTTTAGCATCATAAAATTTCTATTTTTAGTAATTTTTAGCTTAAAGTATTTTTATTAGGAGTGTAGCCATTTCGGTTTCCTTGTGTTTTTTGTTGATATGAGAAATGCATCCATCTTTTAATTTTCAACTTACTTACTTCCTTTAATATGAAGTCTGTCTATTGTATAAATTATATAGGTGGATCTTGTTTATTGAATCTAGCCTGACAATACCTGCCTTTTGATGAGTTATTTAAACAAGTTAATGTTGTTATTAATATTGTTGAATTTGTACCTGTTAATTTTTATTGGATCCCATATAATGCTGGATATTTTTACATTCTTAATATTGTTTGGAGGATTTGTTGGCCCTTTGAGTATTTTTAAAGTAGAGCAGTGTCAAATTTAGGACTAATTTTTTTTCTTAGTGAATCAGAACTTTCTGATGAAATTTTCTAATGATACCATTAGTCTTGAGGGTTTTTTTTTTTTTT